CCACAGATTCTTGCTTTCTTCTTCACGAGTACAATAGACCCTGACCTGGTGAATCTCATTGTAGTTCCACATCCTCCTACATTGAGGCCAAAGAACATTTTCAAAACAAAAGTCTGATGCAATTACACTGCTTAAATCTGCACACTCACTTCTCATTGCTTTCAGCAAGACATCTATGTGAGTATTAGACTGTATTCTGGTGATGACCTGGTCCCCTTCTACCTCCAGTTCAACTCCTCAAAGTAGTTGTGCACTTCTTTGTTTAAAACAGGGTCTCAGTATGTAATCCAGACTGGCCTTGAGATTGCCTGTGTAGACCAGGCTGGCCTTGAACTCATGGTGAACCTCCTGCCTCTACCTCCTGAATACTGAGATTAAGTAAAAAATATTTTGAAAAAGAAAGTTTTGTTACTTACATATATTCACCATTTCATATATTTATATTCCATTCAAAACAGTTTCTCTTTACTCATTGTGGCTCAGATGAAACAGGAGAGTACAACCACTGGGCCACAGATGGAACGTGTGTAGGTCTTCTCTCTGAGAAAATATGCAGTATTTCTTCAACTTCAAATCTCAGTCTGAAGATTTCAGTCATTGGCCCATCTTTGGAGCTTATTAATTTCCAGCATTAAAAAGCAGCAATTAAAAAAACATAAGTGAGGAATTTTTATTTTCCCTCCCCAACTCTCTCTCTCACAGAAAGAGGAAATACACATACCGTATAAGAACTTAGGGCAAGGACAATTTTCTGACAGTGAGGGTTTCTGAAACATCACAAGGTGTTTCTCAAGGAAAGTACTGGAATCTCCTTCCTTAGACATCCTTAGCTAGGACGTCCTAAGACGTTCTCCTTTTTCTAGGATTGAACATTCATTGATTTGAGCTGCTGTGGGATGGCAGATGGCAAATGATTAAAGCCAATGATTTGGACATCATTTACTATAGTAATTGGACAGAGGTGGAATTAAGTTTTCTCTGTGTTACCAACACAGAAGACATTTGCTAAACTAACTCTGTACATATTCTGGGGTGAATGCTCAAATTATCTAACAGAACTATTTTTATATAACTTATAAAAATACTATTTACCAATAATTGTGCCCCAAAATATTACCCAAGTGATCTGTAATCATATCCACAGAAAACCCTGCATATAAATCTTTAAAGGAGTTTTTATTCACAACCATCAAAAACTGAACAAACCAAAGTGCTGATATAGGGACAAGAAACTCTCAACCTGATAGATATTAGTGTGAGTTCATGTTCTTTAATATTGACGAATGAATTTTAGGAACAACAGAGGTGAAGATCAGAATACATTTACTGTGGGAAAGAAACCTTTCTGACTGAGAGACAGTCAGAAGGGGTCCAGAGCGGATTGCCAAGGAACCTGCCTTTTCTAGGGAGTTTTATAGAACAAAACCATGAGGTGAGGCATGTTCCAGGTGAGGGAAACTGGGAAATTGCAAGGTGGCCATGAGGTGAGATAAAACTGGTCAACCAATAAGATGAGCATAATTGCTCCGGTGAAACTGCTTAAATTGGGATCAAATGAGGAAGCAAGTCACATAGCAAGCGCCATGAATACAGAACAGGAGCTTTCCTGTAGGGGATGAGTTAGCGGCTCTTCCTGACTTCCTTCCATACTTATTTAGAACATCAATCCCTGATGCTTATCTTTAAGAACTATGTGGGTGCATTTGTTTTATCTTTTGTTTTGAGGCAAGGCCCCCAACCCCAACTGGAGGTGCCTGTCACTCCCACGGTTGCAAGGTTTCTGCTCTTCTGCACTGCTTCCTTTGAGAGTACAGCCCTGTCTCACTGCCTGCAATATTTCTAACTTCACTGTCTATAATAGTGCTCTTTAATAGGTGAAGGTATAAACAAAGAATGAAGCATACATGTATTAGAATATTAGTCACAGAGTTTAAAGAGGAATAAGCACACGAAATGAAAATGCTCACATAAGATGAAAATGCTAAAGGAAAATCAGTCTGAAAATGTACATATTGTATGATTCCATTACTATGTTACTGGAATAGTCAAAACTACAGAGATGGTAAACAAATCAGCAGTTAATAGGTGTTTGAGGAAGTATGAAGATTTAATAGACAAACAAGGACTTTCTTTCTTTCTTTCTTCTTTCTCTCTTTCTTAGAATGGACTAAGAATAAAATAACTACCCATAGCATGGTGCTATAATTGGTAAATCTCTTCCACAAACATACCTAATCAGAATTCTGAATACACTGTACATGTACACTGAGTCTGGGTTAACAATTGTGAACCCACCATATATTTGAACTGGAATCGAACAATTGAGATGGTAGATGATGGGAGCCAAGAGCCTCACACAGAAGTGGAAGCTAATATGCAAGTAGAGTGACACAAGCATGATTCTGTAGTGCTGGGTTAGGGCTGGGGATACCAGCATGCCTTCCTGTTTAGCTGACATAGATGCAGATGGGTGCATGTCTAAGTATTTATAAATACGTCTGCTCAGGTTAGTGCACACAAATACAGCTCGTTTTTCTGTAGTTAAATAGGTCTACAAGTACGAATATTCCAAATGTCCAAGTCTTGATTTCTAACCATTTTCCATTAAAATGACCCATTGCTCCTAGGAAAAGTGGCTAACTTTAAAACAGAACCTGAGAGAAACAAAGCTTCTGTCTCCTGTGTAAAATCTTCCCAGGTCCAGGCAAACAATTCCTCCAGCAACTCCTGCCTTAGGAATGTGGACTTGTGCTTTCTCATCCCAGTCCTGTGTTTTTCTACTGATAATGGAGACACATCAATCGGTTTTCTCAGTGGATTCTCCTCCCTTAGAGGGCCAATACGGGGTACCATCACCAATAAAACTAATGAATGGGGTTATAAACAAGCTTCACAGCATCCTAACATCCTGAGATGCACAGGATGTGTTTTCTTTTCAAGTGTAAGACAGGGTTAGTTGCCAGGATTACTAATTGCCATTGTTTCATATCTGTATCTCTACCTGCTTAATATCACAAATTGTGTAAGAGGGGATCACTCAGTGCCTTGGGGATAGCCTGGTTTCAAGCGTTTCTAGTGGCTGGGTTGTACACTAATAAAGTGCTCCTGTAATCCCTTCTGGCTCTCTCCAGTTTCTTGGAAACTCTGCACTATTTTTAGGACTGAGGCAAGGAATACATAAAAAAGATCTTGCAGCATCTTATAATGCCAGAAACTGAGGAAATAATCAAAGAAAACATATACAACTTAGGGAAATGTTTCAAAAATGCAGAGGTGCCAACAAAAATAAATTTCATTGATATAAGAGAAAGAAACTCCCAGCCTACTAGATATCTGGTAGTTCTTATTCTCTAAAATTGAGGAATGCATTTTAGGAAAAACAGAGGTTAAGTGCAGAATGTATTTATTGAGAGAAAAAAGTTCCTGAGAGAGAGACAGAAAGGGTCCTCAGTGGATTGCCAAGGACCCCGCCTTTCCTATGGATCTTATAGAGCAAAAGTCCATGTTGAGGAAAAATGAAAACTTGCAAGGTGGCCATGAACTATGGCCAACCAATAAGATTACAAATATAATTGCTCAAGTAAAATTCATTAAATCAGGAACAAATGGGGAAGCAAGTCAAGTAGCAAGTGAGCATGCATATAGAGTTGGGCATTTCCTGTAGGGAAGTGGGTTAGTAGTTCCTTGTGGTATCTCCAGGGTGATATAGATCTACTTAGAGTATCAATCCCTGATGTGTATCTGTTGGAAGTATGTGGGTGTATTTGTTTTCTCTTTTGTCTTGAGATCTGGCCCACAGCAGAGGTGTGACTCCCTCACATTTGCAAGGTATCTGATCTTCCACACTGGCGCCTTCAAAGGGTCTCGCCCTGTCTGACTGCTTATCGTATTTCTATCTAATTCAGTTGTCTTATAACGTCATGACCAAAATTGGGACTATTTGAACAACAAATTAAAGCAGTATTGAATTATAACTCAAAATTTAAAATAAATATCCACAAGTCCATACTAATATAAATAAAGAATTGAATACATAAACAAATGGAGAAAAACAGACAAATCCCCAATGCAGAAAAACTTCAAATAATTTATGAAGAGCCTCTGCCCTCAAAGAGTATCTCCTACAATTTGGGCAGTACATGGTGACATCCTTTTAAAGGAAAAAAGTGACTTCATAATTGACAAATGCTGACTTAGTGAAGTGATAAAAGTTAGCATCAACAGTCATAAGTCATGCTGATATTATATAACCAGGACGGAAGTAATGAGGCCACGTTATACCTTCAAAAAAACCCATTGCTTCAGTGGAAATATTAGGCAACCCCAATAGACATTCAAGAAAATGCCTGATGGATGAGTTTTAAAACCTTAAGGTTATCAGGAGCAAAGAGATTCTGAGGAACTATCACAGTCTGGAGGAGTCAAAATGATTTAGATGTCTCGATTACATGCGATGTGGTATTCTGAATTCTGGTTAAGGACGTTAAACTTAAAAACTTGGGAAATTTGAATGAAGTATGCACTGTAGTTACTATCTTTAAAAATGTATTAGATAAATTAAAATGATATGTTATTCTTAAATTGTCCGATACGTATTTACTGAGCCTGTGTTGAAAGCTGGTCATCGTAGCATAGCTGGGGACAGAGAAAAAGGAACATGCCCTACCCTCAAAAACAATGACTCAGGAAATTTAAATAATAAAGATATCCCAAAACACTATACTATAAAGGGAGTACGAAAGCCTGTGAGCAGGGGAGGGGCGACCTAGCACACAGATAAAAGAGCCAACCAACTAAATTATACACTCCCCAGCCCAGCTAAAGCAAGGCCCCCTCCACCCTAACTGGTAGCCCCGCCCGACCTTCGGTCCTCCCACGCCTACGTGACAAACGTGCGCATCATTGTCTCGACGATCCTTTGCCTCGATGTGCTTGGAAGCAACTTCTTTAGCCTGCTCGGCCAACGCAGACGCAACTCCCATTGCTTGTCTCGCCGCCATTTTGACGGCAGAAGAGTCTAGTTCTGGGCGGCTGGAGTCGACTCTGTGGCTCGGTACGGAAGGTTTCTGCCTAGGCCCCTCCAAATTCGCCCGTCCTCAGACCACAACGCTCGGTATTATCCCTTTTCACACGGAGGCTGTTTTGAGCTTCCTTCCTTTTCAGTTCAGCTCGAAGCGTTGCCCCGAGCTCTTGTCACACAGCCCGGACCCGGACCCGCAGACACCGAAGTCCGCCGTCCGCGGCTGGAGGTTTCCGACGGGCTCTCGCCAGCGGCCCGGGCGCGGCGAGTTCGGCCGGCGGCGGGGAGCGAGGAGCGGCCCCAGCTGTCTGGAGCGGTGTGATCGCTGACGGCCTGTTTGTTTTGTCTTTTCCAGGACTGCTTGAGGGAAGACTGTCTGCTCTCCCCCAGAAATGGCCAGTGTGAGTAGTCTATCAGCAAACTGCTTGGGAATCCTGTAAATAGTGGAGGGACCATTTAATTACGACGGCATCAGCGTTGTGAAGAGAAACAGGGACCATAAGGATACGTTACGTTTGAGGACAGTTTGAACACAATTTTTTTATATATATGTGGATTCAGTTATACTGCTATGGACAAATTCAAAGCATCTTGTCAGTTGAGATATTATTTCAGCATCGAGAATTTTTTTTTTTTTAGCCCTTTTTGCATCTTTGGCTGACTGAACTGAAGGATTCTTTTTTTTGTTTTTTTTTTTTTTTTTTGTTTTTAGCAGCTCCATTTCCATAGGAAATGACTAAAATGCTACAAAACAAGACCAAAAGATACTATTCACGCACACCAGTATGATTGTAAGTGCGCAGTTGTTAATTATAAACATCCGAAGTTGGGCGTGTATTTCAGTGATAGCGCTTGACTAGTGTGTGCAAAAAGAAACAAATTAGATATATCTTAAGAGAGTTTATGCAATGGGGACATAAGATACATATGAAGCTGCTAGAATGAAAGCAGAACCTAATGGGGTTTTTTTTTTTTTTTTTTTTTTTGAAAGCTTTGAAAAGGTACAATTCACGCTATTTCAAAGCAGATTCCACTTTTTGTGCAGAAGAAAGTGGTAGGGGCTTGGTGTTATTTTATTGGGAAAAAGCATTTAACTCGAGTTTTGAAAGATCAGCAGAATTACAGAGTTGAGAGGGGAAAACCAGAAGTACAGTACAGTGTATTGAAAGGCGTCTCCTCCCCACCCATTTTAAAGAAGTCATTTTTGCCTGCCTGATTGTAAGATACGTGAGAAAGATTACTGGAAGATAAATTTACATTCGGAGGTGCAACCTTGATCAGCCAAACTCAGTAATTCAGATTTTGTTTAAATTGTGGTGACTAATTAGAGCTATGTGTTAGGAAGATTGTTGAAGTGCCCAACGTTAGTGAAGATGGTAGTCGCGCAATTAGTAAGAATCTAATGATTATAGAGTACTCTACCTAGCTGGGCACTTGGCACATTGCCTGTACTTCTAACACTGTAAAAAACTTGAAATTGCAAGTTCAAGTTCAGCCAAAGCAACTTAGCCACTTAATAAAATCTCGTCTCAAAATTAAATAAAAATAAAGGACTGAGATTGTCCTCTGAGGTGTAGAACACTTGACTGGCATCTGGGAGGCCCCATATTCAATTCTCAGTAATGTCAAAAAAAAAAAAAATTCTGAAACAAGTATTTTTGTTTTGTTTCTGTACCAGGAAATCAAACTCAGGACCCTGTACTTGCCAGGCAAATACTGTGCTGCTCTGCTATATGCCCAGCTCTAAATTGAATTTTTATCTTGTCATAACCCGAAGAAACATACACTGTAAAAGAAGCATATAATATTCAGAAAAAAATTGAAATTAATTGAATTGAAATTGAATATTTGACCTGACTTTATTTTGGTTTAAATGAATAATTTAGTAGGGTGAATATTTGGAAGATGCTTTTATCAATTCTTTGCTGAAATCAGCTGAGAGTGGAGGCCCATGTGTTTAAATCCTGGCACTTAGGAGGCTGAGGCAGGAGAATTGCCCGTAGCTGCATGATGAATTCAAGGCCAGTCTAAATCACACAGTGAGAGCCTGTCACAAAAAAAGACAAACCAATTCTTTGCCAGAGTAAAATAAAACTTCAAACCAAACGGCTTGGCAGGAGTACATTCATACCCAAATGATAATTAGCAACATTTCCTATAGCTAGGGGAAGGCTGCCTGCTCCTTTATATGCCACAGGTATTTTTCAGTTTGTAATTTCCTTTTTGCCAACTGTTAGCAGTCTGGGTTTTTAAATATCTGTTCACTGTACAAGACCAGATGGTAAATATTCTATGCTTTGTGAACCATAAACTCTGAATTACAGCTACCTAATTCTGCGAATATGGTGTGAAAACAAGTCATTCACAACAAATAAATTAATGGATGTGGTTATAGTAAAATTTGACCAAAGCAGTGTGCTCTACTAGGACATAGCTTACTGTCCTTTGCTTTAAGTTATCCTGATCCCAACTATTTTGCCAAAAGTTTCTGTATGGGAGATATTTATATATTATATATTTGTACATTATTTGTAAACTACTTTCAAGTCTAGAAAATGAACATAAGATCAGAAAACAAATCAGGAAGGTATTGTATATGCTAACATAAAGGAAAGTGGAAATTCCCATCAAACCAAGAAGAAAGAATTACATAGAAGATAGCAATTTAAAAAAAGGAAGGGTTAGAAAATAAGTAAGATTTTGGTCCAAGAAGAAGTTTTAGACATTCCGAATCTTAAGGATAGAAGAATGTTATTAGTGATGCTACCTTTTTAGTTTTGTCATGAGAAAAATTTTTCTAGACTTTGTTCTCATGCAGCACTCTTCAGTTATGGTCTTTATTTTTAAAAGACACATACTGTTAGCCAACATAATTTAATACTTGTTTGGTTTTTTATTGTTTTTTCTGGTACTGGGATTGAACCCAGATCCTTAATACTAAACTATATCCTTGACCTTTTTACTTATTTTTATTTGTTTTGAGATGGTCTCGCTAACTCACCAAATTGTTCACACAATGCTGAAATGTGATCATACTGTTTCACCTGGAATTACAGGTGTGCTTGACTTACATATTTGTTGTCATTTGTGATGTGTCAATATAAAATGAATGTTATATAGAGAGGCTTTCCAAAGAAAACTGTTCATTCAGGAGTGAGTAATTGCAATCCGTAACATGTACACCATGGCATAGTGTGGTGGAACTATAGATACACCCAAGGAAGCAAAGGGAGGCAAGACTTTCAAACATAAAATGAAGACAGTTGCATAGTTATTGTGCAAAATTATTCTTGGCAAAAAGTCACTAACAAAAATACGAATCCAAGATTGGACAGGCATCATTAAGTAGGCATCTTCATAGAAGTATTTTTGTGTGTGTGCGCAGGATTTGTTTTTGTGCAATTGTGCTTAAGCAGAATCTTTTCTGATCTTTCCTATTATGAAGCAACTATGATGACCCACCTCCCTCCATTATGGCCTCTTGACTCATTTTGTTAGGATTTAAAATAAGTAATTCTATTTTGATTCTGGCAATTTTCATTGAATTTATTTTAAAATTATGAATACATATTATATGTATTACATAGATAAGTTACAATACTTAAATTCATAATAAATAATTTTAATTTTTTTTTTTTTTTTTCATTCTTAGGTGCTCTCTAACAGGGCCAGACTGGTTTCTTACCTCCCTGGATTTTACTCGTTAGTTAAAAGAGTTGTCAACCCAAGAGCCTTTTCAACAGCAGGATCTTCAGGTTCTGATGAGTCTCATGTGGCCACCTCATCCCCAGATATATGTAAGTAAAAAATAATGCATTGAATGTACCTAACCTACCAAATAAGCATACCAATCCAGTACTCAGTAGAGGTTTATTTATAGGATTCATAACTCACTGTGAACTGTGGCTCACTATCCAGCATTGAGAGAGATTGCAACATATTGCTAAACACAAAAAAGGTCAAAATTCAAAGTTTGGTGCATATGGCTTTCACGCCATTAAGTCAAAAGGTCATATGTTAAACCACCATAAATCAAGCATTTGTACTATTTCACAGAGCTTATTTCCTGAGGTTTAATTTCTTTCTATCCTTAACCTAGTCCTCCCTGAAACGTCTCCTTTTAATCCCATTAAGACGTTACTTCTTACCGTTTTTGATAAGTTTCTTAAATGTAGTTGACACTTTTTATGTATTGTATGCATTCAGTAATTTATCTACTACCTACAAAATCTATTTGTTTGACACAACCCCATCAGACTAATGATTTTTAAATGTTTCGTGTCACTTTCTTGATATACCTTTATCATTTCTCATTACTTTTTTTTTTAATTTTAAAGAGAAAAAAAATCGGAAACAAACAATAGCAAAAACAAAATGACAACAGCAAAAAACAGTGGAGATGTCTTCCACACAGTTTCAGTTTTAACGTTTAGTTCTTTGATCCATTTTGATTTTAGTTTAGTACGTGGTAAGAGGTAAGGGTTAGCCAGTTTTCCCTATAATGTTAAAGAGCCTATCTTTTTTCAAAGAGCATATTTTTCCTCTGTTGTATGTTTTTGGCCCCTTCATCAGAGGGCAAATAATTGAATGTGCTTTCAGTTGCTGCATCTTCTGTTGTGTTGCATGGCTCCACGTGTCTTTGTGCGAGTACCATTATATTTTTATCAGTGTAGCTTTGTGGTATAACTTCCAAGTCCAGGATTATGATGGCTTCTACTTCACTGTTGCTATCCAGGATTGCATTTGTAACTCTTTAAGTCTTGCCTGGTTTTATCTGAATTTTTGGATGGTTTTTTCCAGTTCTATGTAGTGTTGCTGTTGGTATTTTGATTGGAATGACATTTAATCTGTAGGTGAATTTTGGAAGAATAGACATTTTGACTATATTGTTTTTAGCTGTCCAGGCACAAGATATATTTTCACTTTATGATGTCATCTTTGATTTTCTTTTTACAAGTATTATAGTTTGCATCATAAAGGTCATTTACTTCCTTAGGTTAATTTCCAAGTGTTTGGTTTTTCTTGGTGCTGTCATAAGTGGTACTTTTTTTCACTATGGATTCGCTCCTGGTGTCCAAGAATGATAATAGATTTTTGTGTGCTATTTCATCCTGCTACACTGATGAATTTGGTTATTTTTAGGAGTTGGGGAAATGTATAGAATCATGTCATCTGCAAATAATAATTCATCATCTTCCTTTTTTATACATACTGCTTTCTTTTTCTTGCTTGATCATTCTTGAAAATGTTTCCGGGGATATGTTGAATAGGAGCGGTGATAGTGGGCATACTTGTCTTGTTCTTCATTTTAGAAGGAAAGCTTTGGTTTTTCTCCATTTAATATGATAGGGAATAGGTTTGTCATAAATGGCTTTAATGAAATTGAAATATAAGGTTCTTTCCTATTTTCTTCAGTGTTTTTATTGGATTTTGTCAAAACATTGGATTTTGTCAGAGGCTTTTTCTGTGTCTACTGAGATGATCATGTATTTTTTGTCCTTCTGTTTTTGTAATGTATTACATTTATTGATTTCTGTATGTTGAACCATCCTTGCATGCCTGGGAAACAGCATACTTGATCATGGTATAGGATCTTTTTGATAATTCATTGCATCTTCTTTGCCAGTATCTTGTTGATGACTTTTCCATTTGTGTCCCTGAAAGAAATTGGCTTGTAATTTCCTTTTTTGATTAGATTCTTGTTTGATTTTGGGTAATGCTACCTTCTAGGAATGACTTTGAGAGTACTTCCTTACTGAAAGCCTCATAGAAGGGTATCAGTGTAACCTAGCTGGCAATATGGCACACATACGCAAAAGAAACACAAAGAGAAAATATTTTGCAGTTGAGGAGCTCTGAGATGACCCAGTGTTCTCTCTGGAACAAAAACTCATAGTTTTAATTTGTTATCAGTCATGGAGGTGAGTGGGGGTGGAGGCAGAGTACATACGGAAAAGAAACTATAGCCATACCAGACACAGAGGCCTTCAATTAACAATGCATAGATAATTTTTTATGTGTGCAAGACTGGCACATTTTCTGCTGGGAATATTTGTTTCAGTAAAGCCAGCTCTACATATATCAGTAAGATGAAGGAGAGGTTAGGGTCCGGTTGTGACAGGGGCTTTTTTTTCAGGGGAAAACAACATGGTGGTCTCCCACACTCCTTCCCTTTTGATTTCACTAAAGAGTTTGAGTATTGGCTTTAGATCTTCTTTGAAGTTCTTTTAGAGTTTGGCAGTGAATTCATGAGGTCTTCGCTTTTCTTGTTGCTTTTTTTCCCCCTGCTGCAATTTTGTTGCCTGCTATTTGATTATTCAGGGATTTAAATTTTGGTTCAGTTTTGGTGATTCATGTGTTATCTAGGAATCAATGCATTTCTTCTGAATTCTTCAAATTAAAGACATACAGTTTTGCAAAGTGGTTGTTAATTGAGTTTCAGCAGTGTCCATGATTTCACTTTTTAAATTTCTAATTGCATTGATTTAAATCTTTTTTCACCATTTTCTTTTGTTTAAATTAGCTAAGAGTTTGTTTTGTTTATTCTTAAAAGAACTCTTCAATTCATTGACTAGAGGGGTTTTTGGTCTTAATTTCATTGATTTCTGCTCTGCTCTTTAAAAGTTTCCTTCTTTAAACAAATTTTGGGTTCTTGTTTTTCTAGGGCCTTGCAGCGCATGGTTAGATTACTTCATTGGGCTCACTTGGTTTTCATGGTGTTGGCATTTACAGCTACAAAATTTCCTCTTTGGCCTGCTTTCATTGTGTCCCATAAGTTCTGATTGTTATATTGTCATTATCGTACAGTTCTAGAAGCTATCGTGTTTAGTCCTTGTTTTCTTCTGTAAACCATTGATTTTAAAGGCGCTTTGAAGCTTAATCTAATGTGTCCTAAAGGAATTGTGTATAGAATCCTTTTTTTCTTGAAACATTACTGTTGTGTAATTTAAGTTCATGTAAGTTTAAAGCCTTCCATCTTGCCCCAGTTCTCTTATAGCTCCATCTTTTTACTAATCCAGTTGACATCACCTGAAGAATAACCCTAAATATAAAACAAGTGAAAGATTTTTATATTTAGATATATAAGGGGTTAGTACCCTGATACATAAAGAATTTTTATAGCTTGATAGGAAAAAGACATCCCAATTGAAAATCAAAGCAGCATGTTCACAGGTCTTTCACAAAAGAGAATTCCTAAATGCCTAACATATGAAAATATGCTCAAATCCACTATTAATGTGGAACATTTATTTCCTTTAAAGAAAACTTGAGACTAGTAGACCTCAGTGGTCTTTTAAACTCATCTTGTTCAGAAATAGCTAACAGGCTTATCTTAGTGGCTGCCTGGAGCCCTGTTACTCAAGATCATTTGAGAACTTGTTATAAATATAAAATCTTAAGTGTCACTCCATACTTATTAAATCAGAATTTATATTTTAACAAGATCCCAGTTGATTCCTAAGTACTTTAAAGTTTGAGAAGCATTGGAGTAGAATGTGTTGAGTGTTTTGAGACAATTCAGCAGGAAAAGAGTTACATGATTGCCAGATCCTTTATGTTAATAGGTGTGGAAGAGGAATGTAATTGCATTCATGACCAAGCAGTGAGTCAGCCATATTGACATAGCCATTTTCAGACATCACTTCTGGCAGGATATTAAAAAATAATTATTTTACTACTAAGTAATGTGCACTGCAGTTGTCTCTCTTTTTCCCTAAATAAAAATTGCACTCTCAAGTGTTTTTTTGTTTAATTTCCTACTTTGTTTTTTCTGGATCTTTATGAATTTTTTATAAATCAGTGTATTTTTAAAATTGTATGTAAACAAAGTATTATGGTCTGTTATACATATTTATAATTTGTATTAATTCATGCAGTTTGTAAACACAGGATTATGTCACATAATAGATGCTGCCCCCCCATTCATTAATGCTATGTGCCCTTAGTGAGCAGCAGATGAATTGCCCTGCCTAAGGGTAACTACTGTTAAACTTAGCTTTTCCTTTTAAATCTTTTTCTCATTATTTAAAAATAGGAATAAAAAATATATAAATGTTACTGTGCTATTCTTGATACAGCTTTTTTCTTTTAATACTATATAATGTAGGCCTCACTCAGGTCGGTATATAAAATTTTACTGTATTCATCTGGTACTTTACTGACTGCTTCCCCTAGTAGTTGATCTACCTGGAAGCCAATAATTACTTGTGGTGATCAGCATTTCGGAAACACCATGAAACTAATTTGTATTCACTCAAGACAGCAGATTTCAAAGATCTATAATAAAAACATTCTTTCAGCTTGCCTGTGTGGTGTTGTTACTGTTCTCTTTAGGCTCTCGAACAGTGTGGCCTGATGAAACTATGGGACCTTTTGGACCTCAAGATCAGCGTTTCCAGCTTCCTGGGAATGTAGGCTTTGAGTGTCATCTCAATGGGACTGCTGTACAAAAGAAAAGCCAAGGTCATAAAATTTTACCTGATGTTCTGGCAGAACCTTTATCAACTGAAAGACATGAGTTTGTGATGGCGCAATATGTTAATGAATTTCAGGTAAGTTGTTATTTACCACTGGGACTTTTTGGTTCACTTTTGTTTTTGTTTTGTTTTTTGGGGTTTCTGAGGTTTTTTTGTGGGAGCAGTGACGAGAATCGCACTCAGGATCTCACATTTGCGAGGCAGGCATTGTGCCACTGAACTAGATCCCAGCTCTTTGACTCTGTATTTTTCTGATTATTAATGCTGTATTTTTTATGAGCATATTTTATTGAAAAAGAAAAAAATCCCACTATGTACGGAAACAACTTAAGTAGCTTTAAAATACTTGATGTTGTCCAAGTTATATCACGTTTGCTATATAATTTTATTTAACTTTAGGTTATTATCTCAATTAGGTAATTAAGTTATCAAAAATACATTTTTAATAACTGTTGCAATTGTACCTAATTTTGCTTTCTGTATTGCTGGAAAACTGTTTTTCAGTTTTAAAAATGACAGTTACAGTGTAGATTTAATTCCTGCCAGCTTTATATTTTTCCACTCATTTGAAAACTTAAAAAATTTTGAGGTCACTGAAATTGTTCGTATATACTAAGCAAAAAAACACTGTAAATGTTTGAGTTTTATTTATTTGTCTTGAAATGGATTCCGAGGAGTATGGGGGTAATTTTTTGAGTTTTGTTTAAAGATTTTAAACTGGTATTGCATCCTTCCTTACTCAGGGAAAGCTATATATACTATTCAGGGTTTTTAGTCAAATGCCTAATGTTTATTATTTTTTACTTTGCTACATAATATCAGGCAGAGTTTTCAATCAAAGACACAATACTAGGAGTAGGCAGTTCCTTACAGAAATTATGAGTTAAGCGGATGACCTGACACAATTGACTTTCCCTGTCCTTCTCACTCTTTTTGGCTCTTTGATCCTTGCGTATTAATTTAATGATATTTCCTATATGTTTTGTTCCTTTATCTTATTTAAACTACTCTGGCCTGGTTTGGTAGCAAACACCAATAGTCATAGCATTCAGGAAGCTGAGGCAGTAGGATAACTACACGTTTAAGGCCAGCCTGGACTACATAGCAAGACTATCGCAAAAAAAAAAAAAAAATGAAAATGAATAATTTTTTGATCACTTAATCCTTTAGTTTCTTCCACGGGCTGTATTTTTATAATTCATATTGATCGTTTTATTTATGACATTTTGGGCTCTATGCTTCTGTTTGCCTATCAGGTATCTAAAACAGTCACCACTTGGTACATGGTATTAGTTACTTAACTTCCAGCAAATATTTATTTGGCTTATAGTTCCTATGAGTTCAGTTCATGGCTGGCTCCAAGGCAGACAAGTATGGTAGAAGGACCTGTGAGAAACCTGCTTAACCCATGGGAACCAGGAAACACAGAAAGGGGAAGAACCAAGAACAAACATACACCCTTTCAGGTCACGTCCCCACTCCAACCAGGTTCCATCTCTAAACAGAAAATTTTTGTGGCACATTTTAAATCAAAACCATAATATTCCTCCCCTGGCTCTCAGAGATTCACTTGTTTTTCGTTAATAAGGTACATTTAATCTGTCTCTTAAGAGTCACCAAGGTCTTTAACAGTTACAGCATTATTGAAAAGTTCACATCCAGTATCTTCGCTGAGACTTAAGACAAATCTTAGCTTGGACTCTGGTAAAAAAAATTTTTTAAAAAGTTAAAATACCTTCAACATACAGTGGTATAAGATAAACATTCCCATTCCAAATGAAGGAATAGGAGGATAAAAAGAAATTCAGACAGGGGAAACACTAAATCTCATAATCCATGCCCATGTGGCAGGTTGGCGAAAGACACAAACCCTAAAGGGTTTGGGCAGCCCTGTCTCTGTGGTCCTACTGGTTTTAACCCACATGGCTCTGTTGGACTGCCTCCGCTCACAGCCTGCAGTTTTGCTCAGCAGACGTTCCTTGTTCTGATGTCAACAGCTTCCTGGCGTGCCCATTACACCTTAAGCTTTATTCTCACAGCTTCACACACTATCCTTTCAGGACCATATTGCCTCGCTTCCCAGTTTTTTTGAAATCTAGGTAGAACCCTTAACCCCACAACTCTTGAATTTAGCATTCTTGAAAAACCAGCACCACTGGAGTGACATTGAGATCTATCAAGTGACTTGATATTTAGACAGCATTGGGACATACAATCTCAAGAAATAGCTGGACACCGATGGCTTCAGAGGCCAGTGAGTGACTGGATAAGCTGAATTTGGGAAACATTTCTTAGGTTGTCCTAATTAAGCAGAGTACACAAAGGCCCTCCTCTCAAAGCAGAGTGTTTCAAAAACATTAGTTTTACATCTCTGAGCCTGTATAGGAAAATCCGATGTACCCTTGACATCCTGAAAGCAGAGAAGAGGGTACAAAAGTGTACCCCGCTGGATCATGTCCCTAGAGACGTGACACTTCTAGCCTGGGCTCATCTCCCAACATAGGGCTTCTGGGGGACATTTTAGATCTAAACCATAGCAGTTGCATTGGAATGCAGAGAAAATGAAAATAGTGGGAAAGATTAGGGATGAAAATTATAAATGGCCACTTACACTACATTAAAATAGAAAGTCCTTTCTCTCAAAACCTGTTCTTTTTTCCAAGTGCAAATAGTATAAAAGTATAACCACATTATACTAACAGAAAAATATCAGCCTTGATTCCCCTTTGCATCAGATCTTCATAAGTAGTATCAGAGTTACATTATTTCTTTGTAGTTTCTCCTTTCAGTTTTCTACAAGAGTTCAAGGTTTATTTTATCAGGATTATGAGACTTTACAGGATGATAGACTATGGAAAGAGAACAAATTAAAGGCTTAAAAGTTGGCTGTGTGAAAATGTATATAAAGCACTTAAATCTACTAAATGATAAATAAATGTTGGTTAATTAATCTCTTACCTGCTCTTCATTACCCATAAATAATCCTCCACATTAAAGCTAATGATAGCTTTTTATATTTGATCTATTTCTCATGGCTTATAAACCAAAATCAGAATTTCTTAATGTAACACAAATGGCCTTTCACAATTTTGACTCCTTACTTCTCCCATTTTATTTCTCACTACTTTTTTGTCATTCCAACTACAACATACTTCCTTTTGTTAAAAGTATGCCATTCTCTTTCACTATTGTATATCTTTGTATTCTTACCTCTCTCTTGATCTAGGTAGTTTTTCCTCTTTTGCTAGCTGATTTTTTTCCTCCTGAATTTTTAGACTATATTCTACTTATTACCTGGGCAATACACAGGAATTAATATGTTTTATGTTTTAATTTTAATGTTTTCCTGATTCCTCCCAGCAAAGCAGGTTTCTTTCTTATCTGTGTTCTCAGAAAAATTTTCTTCTCCATATTGAATTGCATTTATTTATTGTGCCTGTTTTTCTTCTTAGGTCTGATATACCTGACAATAAAGGCTGGAGATAGATAGATAGATAGATAGATAGATAGATAGATAGATAGATAGATAGGAAAAAGTGTCTGCATCTGTCAAAGTGCCCAGTATATTAATAGATTCTTAATTATTTCAGTTAAATAAAGACCTCAAAGCCCTTCTCATAGGAGAGGCTATATTGTCATGTTACTTTTGTTTGTTTGTTTGTTGGGGTTGTTTTGTTTTGCTGCCAAGGATTGAACTCATGTTACATTTTTAAATTAGTGTTCAAATCCCAGTTTTACAAATTACAGCACAAAAATGGTAGATGTTAAAATATCAGAAGAGGTAACGTATGGCACAATTTATGCTGTTTTAGTTTCTCAGCCAATTTCAGTTTATATACAGTCCTAGAATATCAGTATATTGGTTTTCTATTTTATTCAGGATTTCAAAGTTTCAGATCATATTCATTCTTGGACAGAGGTTTTTTTGGTTACATAAGCAAGCATTACCTCACCTAGCCAGTTAGGATTATTTTAAAAAACTTTTTAAAGATGCCTTTGTTTGCTTAAATCCTTATTTCCCATAGGGTAATAATGAGCCTGTAGAACAAGAAATTAACAGTGCAGAAACTTATTTCGAAAGTGCCAGAGTAGAGTGTGTAATCCAGACATGTCCAGAATTGCTTCGGAGAGGTATGTCATACTTTATTCTTTGAAATACTAACGAATATGAAATAATATTGTTAGTTTTTTGATGTGTAAAGGAATAATGTACTCTTGAGAAATTTTAATGCTTTTCAGAGGCTTCTTAGTATCTCATGTCAGGCTGCAATTATATAAAAATAGTAGAACATTACACTGCTGCTGATGTTACTTACAATTTCTTGAGCTAATATACAGAAAATTTGAAATTATATTAACAGCAATAACATGTAACTTCCTTTACCATTCGGAATTGATAGCAGTGAGTTTTTCAGCTCTTCCCTTAAAACCAGAAGTGATCTAAGTTTGGTTCAGTCTTAAAAGTAACTCGTCAGGCTGGAGAGTTAGCTCAGTGACTTAAGCACCTGCCTGGCAAGCATGAGGTTGTGAGTTCTATCACTAGTACCAAAAACAAAACAAAACAAAAAAGTAACTCATATCTATAAAAATAACTTAGTACTACAAAAACAACTTAAACATCATTTTCTAAAAGTATATTTTTATAAACTATATCTTTCTTAAAAAGCAGATTATTTTCTTCTTGAAATTTATGTTCATATTTGCAGACTTTGAATCACTATTTCCAGAAGTGGCTAATGGCAAACTAATGATTCTGACTGTAACTCAGAAAACTAAGAATGATATGACTGTTTGGAGTGAGGAGGTAGAACTTGAAAGAGAAACACTCTTAGAAAAGGTAAATCTTTCAGTTGCTAGCAATTTTATTTTATGGTCTTATTTAGATACCAGTAAACCAGTATTCTAAAATGATTTTTCCAGCCTTTCATTCTGTGAAATATTTCATTGCTAAAGAACTTGCATGAATTTTTTTTTAAAACAGTTTAACTTAACATCTTCTCACTGTCTATATTTTTGGTATAGTTAATACAAACATTATAGAAATTAGGCTAAGACCCAAATTTTGATACATGTGTGGTACGAAGCAGTTATACGCTTCATGGGGAAGCCCAGCGTGGTCATGGCACATACATGAAGCCAGTATTCCAGGAGGCTGTTGTGGAGAATCACAAATTCAAACCCAGTCCTGCCAGCCTTAATAAGACCTTGACTCCATATGAAGACTAAAAAGACTGGGAAATGTAACTCAGTACACAGGGCTTGGGTACAGTCACCAGTACCACCACCACCACTAATAATATTGATGATACATGGATGTGTAACGAAAAATAAGTATCCCATTTACCCTTCTACTACTCCTATTAAGTTTAAAACATTTTTATGCTGCTTCTCAGAAGTATTTCGTAACTATGTAAATAGACAAATGTGTTTTGAAAGATGCAAAAGCAATATAGATGTCTTTATAAACAATTTTCATTCAGATTAATGAAAGCTTCTGATGTTTTTGTAGTTTTATTTTCATTTTCTTACCTATTTCTATTCTCCAAATTATATAGACTAGTAACTGTAGATACAATTTTCACAAGTTTGTGAATTAATTATGCAAAATTATAGGACATTTCATAAAGTGGAAAATAATATAGAAAAAACAACTTAAGACTTTTTAAAAGAAAACCGTTGTATTAACCATTAGTCTTTTGAAGTAGTAAAAGTCTAATGCCTTTACAGTCTATTTTGAGATCTTTTATTTTGCAGTAATCTTACTGAGTTCTATATTTGAAGCAAGTATTTAAAAGTTAATTTAAAAATTTATTAAATTGTAGTGGTGCTACATTGAGCATATTCTTTCTACCTTTTTCTACACAGTTCATTAATGGTGCTAAGGAAATTTGCTATGCTCTTCGAGCAGAAGGCTACTGGGCTGACTTCATTGACCCATCATCTGGTGTGGCAGTGAGTAATTAAATAATTTGAAAGCTAGATAATTTAAAGTAGCAATGTTTTTTATTATAAAAATATTTATAATTATTCCTTTGGTAAATATAGATCATTTACTCTTGTTTAATATTTTACCCAGAGTATATTACTATTAGTTGCTTTCAAAACTTTGGAAGGACCTGTTACTATTCATGGTTTCTCAAAATTTTAATTATTTTATTAAAAATATATTATTTCACCCATGATAGTAGGTATGATTGTTTACTACTTATGGGAAAATATAAAATGAGAGTTTATGTACTGAAAATTAGATATTAATGTTTCTGGTCTAAAAGTTTAAAAGAAACTTACAAGTAAAGACAATACTGCATACATAGTAAAAAAAATTTAGAGTAGTAACTGCTTAGAAATTAACACTTAGTTGCATTATACTTTGAAGAAAATAACACCTTGTCCTATTTTAAATTCTGACTATATCTTTCAATTACAATTAAGAATGAATTTTTTTTAATCTTAAGAATATGCAGTGCTTCTTTTGACAAGTAAAGATGTGATACAGAGTAGAAATGGAAGACTTGTACTCTGGGCTGTGTTTTCCTTATCTAAAAGTGAAGAAGGTAAACTAAAGATTCCCTTAAGCCTCATCCCATACTTAATCTTTGAAAGTGTTACAGATTTAATTCTAAATAACATGAAATTGTTAGACCATACATACCATATTTCTAGAATGCACAGGTATTGGAGGAGGGGTGTTAGGACAGTTTCAGTAATGAATGTTAACCATTTTATTTCTCATTTGACTTTTTAAATATCTGGACTATTAAAATACATACATGTTTATTCTTGTATAAAACTTACTACTACAATATCTTTCTAATGAATGTATTAATTTTTTTGTTTCCTCTAGTTTTTTGGACCATATTCAAACAACACTCTTTTTGAAACAGATGAACGCTACCGACATTTAGGGTTCTCTGTTGATGATCTTGGCTGCTGCAAAGTAATCCGCCATAATCTCTGGGGTACCCATGTGTTTGTAGGAAGTATCTTCACTAACGCAACACCAGACAGCCATATTATGAAGAAATTAAGTGGAAATTCGCAGTAATGTCATTTTATCTGCTCCATTACTTGTATGTAAAAGGATTGATCAATATAAACATTGTCAAAGACTTCACTTTTCAAAATATACTTCTTTTGAGTATTTATTTTAACATACATGAATTTACAACATTGGTGAGTGGGATTTTAAAATCATAAATGTTAATTATTTATATTATTGAATACATGTTAAGTATATCACACCAGACAAGATGTGGTAATTAACATGTAACCAGTTTGTGATCTATGAATGTGAATTCTCGCTTTTACTGGAAAAACCTGTTTTAATTTTTTTCCAAAAATAAATCATAATTTGGTAATAATGTGTGGCTTTTTTGTTGCAGTTTTTAATAAATACAATTCTTAAAGGTTCTAAGCAACATTATTAATTTTTTTAATTTATTTTTTAGTAACACAGTTCTAAATTCATTTTAAAAGTTCCTTTTTCTAATACTCTTTCACTTGCCTATTTCCTGGTACCAGGTTGAGTATTACTTTAAAACAATATGTGAACAACTAAAAGAATAATAAGGATAATAAATATATCTCTATGTATAAAAGCATGTGAGTCTTATTCTGTGTCGTTTGAGTGGCAGCTCTTAAATCTTTTTTGTGGTGAGAGTACTGAGTCCATAGAGAACTGAACTACATCCCCAGTTCATTTTACGTTTTATTTTTAGCCAAGTTCTCACTAAGTTACCCAAGTTGGCTTCAAATTTGCAATCCTCCTGGCTCAATTTCCCGAGTTGCTGGAACTATAGGTGTATGCCACCATGTAGGGTATGAATCTCATTCTTATACTCACTGAAAAAAGTAATGTATAACTCGTATCAAGACAGGTAACTTTCAAATAAACTGCCTCAGCCACCAAATTTTTTGTAGTCACTTTACAGAAGTGGCTGTTGCTGGAGATTTAGTTAAGTGGCGTAAGTGCCTGCTTGGCAAGTGTGAGGTCATAAGTTGATCCCCGGCACACACACATAAAGTGACTGCTTTGGGCTGGGTATGGTAGCTCCAGTGCCTTTCTGGTAGGTGCAAGGTCCTTAGTTCAATTCCCCGTACCAAAAAAACATACATACACACATATAAACAAACATAAACAGTGACTGTTTATGATAGCTTTGTTTTTTAGCATTATGAACTTTAAAAGGATTATCATTTGTGAGGCTTTGACAAGAATTTAGGTGAAGTTAAATGATGAATCTTTCAGATCACCTGATCTGTATCACCCACTGTTTAAAAAACCAGATGGGAAATAGTAATGAAAGAGCATCCATCAGGTCACTCAGCTAATGTTAAGATTATATTGGAACTTTGATGTTAGTCCATTTATAATATGCTTTCTACATTTGCTCTTCATGGTTATCAAGAAGTCTAGTAAGTGTCTAATGGAAAATATCAGAATTGCAGATTTTAAACAAAAATTTAGGATTAACTACTATATTTTATGGATAACTTCAGGAATTCATTCCATGGAACTCTTTATGTTCTGAATTTCTTTGAAAATTACTGAAATGTATCAAAAATTCAGTTACAGAGTGCTGCACTCAAGTTCTTAAGCTTCATTTAAAACCTTGTATTTCTTGGGCTTGTATCTCTTGTAATCTCAACCTAAACTTCATATTTTAACAAAATTCTGCTTTTAGTTCTGTTTTTGTACAACTGGTTCTCTTGTTGCTCCAAAGCACGTTTTATTTACCTTTGTACTGTATATATTTTGAACCAAATAATTCTTTAATGTGAGAATCGTCCCTTACATTGTTTAGCCTCATTTCCTATTAGATAAGAGTAGCAAACTCATTGTCATGACAAAAATGTCTCCAAAGATTGCCAAATTTCCATTAGAGAACAAAGACTTTTCTTACCTAAAGTCAAATTAACTAGGTGTTTCTTAATCTGACAGTCCTACCTGTAGTTGAGAACAACTGATTGAAGGACCTTCTAACTTAGTGGTTCTCAAGTTTAACTGTATATTTGGATTACCTGAGAATAGTGTTGATTTAGCCTGTCACCCATGAACTTGAGCTCAATAGTCCAGTGGGTACCAGTATGTTTTAAAAGTTGTGGTGCTTTATTATGCAATCAAAATCATGAGGATGACAAAGCTCAGTGAATTGAAAATCTTAAGGAAATAACTACAATCATAAATTTCATAAGATTTTTTAAAAGGCTCCAATGTTTTGCACTAAAGTATCCTAATCAGGCCTAAATCAAGGATTTATTCTAGCACCCACTTAATGAAATCTTTCCAGACTACTATGAAAGATCTGCATTGGCCTTGTCTTTCCCACTGTATTGTTGGTTAACACCACACTGTTTTGTACTTGGTCACATTGTGCTAATACACAATTCTGGGTTTGGGGTTTTGTATTAAATTTCTCCTCCCACATCTACAAAGTAGAAATCCAACTTCTTACTGAAATACTACTAAACATGCAATAGTAACCTTGATTGTCATTCTCTGCTCAATAGAATATTTTAAACTTTCATAGGTTTTGTTTTGTCTGCCCTATTCTTTGTCAGTAGAACACAGGTAAGCTGTAACTGTATCCAAAAGATTTTAAGTTAAGGCTTTGAGCATTTGACTTCCTGAAAGTTATAATCGCTTAAAGCCATGTCTATATGATAAAAAGCATACATGAAGTTGCCTAATTACCTGTATGTAGTGCTGTGAGGACAGTCTTTGCAATACATGTTGCTGGGCCATTGGATATGCATGTAGAAAAAGAATATTTTTACTTTACACCCTACACAAAAGTTGCTTCCAAATGATTGCAAAGGCTATACGGAAAAGGGTAGAACTTAAGGGAAAAAAGATCTTTGTGATTTTGACAGACTGAAAATTAGAGCACAGCCATGCAAGGGGAAAAATTGAGTTGGATAGCACTAAAATTAAACTTTTAATTCATCAAAAGACATGAAAGCAAAGACATCAGAATTGGAGATACATGTACATTTAAAAATACAGCAATATACATCTCCAACAAGACTCATTGATAATATATAAGGAGATCCTAAAAGCAGTAAGCAAAACAAAAACATGTACAAAGATACTCAAATGGCCAATAAATGTAAGATCCTTTACTAGGTAAATCATCAAAAATGCAATTAGACTCACACTACCATACCACTACTTATCCCTTAGAATGGCTGAAATTAAAAAGATGTAAAGTGTTGATAGAGATGTAGAGCAATTTATACTACCGCTGATAAGAATATAAAATAGCATATTCTGGAAAACTAAAGAGTTCTGAGGCTTAATATCTTGCAGGACTTAGCAATTTCACTCTGAGGCATAGGTCAAACGTGCAAACATTCACCAAAAAGCTAACTATAATAAAAAGGAAGCAAATGTCAACCAACATGGGCAGGAATGTATCAATTGTAGCACATTCATATATTGAGACACATAGTGTAGCAGTGAAATGTTTTATGATTGTTTAGAAAAATGGAAGAAACTAAAACAGTGGCATGCAAAAGAAGTCAGACCCAAGAGTACATACTACAGGACTCCACTGTAAAATACAGACCTCTACCAGAAGTCAGGACAGTTGCTTAGCCTTGTTTCATCTAGAATATCCCCCAAAACACGTGTTAAAGGCTTAATTGCCAGTCTGTGGTACTAGCAGAATGTGATAGAACTTTTAGGAGGTGGGCCCAATAGAATTTAGATCATCAGGGTCGTGCCCTTAGAGACCGTACAGGGACTCTGTCTGATCCCTTCTACTTTCTCTTCCTCTGCATGCCATTGTTATGAAGTAGACTTCCTCTAACTCCCCTTACCATGATACACATTCATTGTCCTGCCACATAAAGCAATGGGGTCAACAGACCATAAACTGAAATCCCTGAAACTATGCACCAAAATAAACCTTTTGTTGTAATTGATTCAAAGCATGGAAAGCTAGCTAACACTAGCGGTTACTGGATGGACAAAAGAGCATTCTGGAATGTTAAAAATAGTCCTTTTTCTCAACTAAGGTTTTCACTGAGCAATTTAGTTATGTAAATTTATGTGCATGTTTTTATATACAGAGTATAATGAAAAATACAACTGAATCTGCTGTTTAAACAGTGGTAGAAACGACTGAAAGACAGCTGGTATCAGCAACAGCTCCTAAACTCCATGTTTTGAAAGAAAATTTATAGTTAACCCTGAGGGAATTTTGAAATGAAATTCATGTTTTTTTAAATATGTAGTTAGTTATTTCAACTATGTATTAATGCTTACATTTAAGCAAAATATCGTTTGCAAAGTATTTCATTTTTTTTACAGTATTGTAATATATGTGTGTGTGTATGTGTTACATTTTTTTTGTGTGAACTGTAATCAGTTGGGCCAGAATTTTAAGAGCTTTCTAAATTTTTTAATCCTTGGATAGTTAAATAATTCTCTCTTAGAGTTCTTACTCTGTAGATTTTTCTCTCTTTAATTTTTAACAGGTCTAACAGTTTTTCATCATTTTTAGTTATTTCATGAAATGTTGAGCATATTCACAATTTTACTTCAGGGTCTGTATATCAAATAGCACAGACATTAACTTCATTTGCTTAGAACAAAAGCAGGCAAATAAATCAGGATTCAGTGCTACAGTCTGATCTTGTTCTGTATAAAAATAGAAGCTCTAATTGTTTTAATTTTGTTATGTAGACATGTATTTAAATTACAACTTCTTATCTATTCTAGTATAAAGATTTTGTAGTATTGTCTGTTTAAAATCAGTGACAATTTAATAGAAAAATAGACATTAAACTTTTTAATTGGTGTATAGTCATAGTTCATATTATAGTTATTGTAATGGTTATTTATTGTGTAAACTTGAGAAGTTTAGAAGCTTAGTGAAGGACTCATATGGGGGCTAGAGTCCTCACTTTGCAAATATCCTGAGCCTGTGCAAGAGGAGGATACAGAGATAATGTGGGCAAGTAGTCTGCTTACAATACAAGGGAGAAAAAGAGATTTTGCTCTTCCCCTTTTGCTCTTGCTGGTTTTGCTGTCTTCTGCTGCCTTGAATGGTTGCCTCTGTGCCATGCTACCCTGCCTTGGAGCCAGCTGATTGTGGATTGAAACCTTCACAAACTGAGCCAAATAAACCTTTCCTCTTTATAACTTTGAATGTTGGGTATTTTGTTCCAGCAACAAGAAAAAAGTAACCAAGACAATTGTATATCCCATTTCATTACAAATTGAATTTTTAATTTTTTTTTATTTTACAAAGAAAAACAAGGATTGAAACAATTCAGAATTTCAAAATATAGGAAATTAACACTAATTAATATATTGCATATTATCTGAGAAGTAGTTCAGATTACAAGATTTTTG